TAGATAGATAGATAGATAGATAGATAGATAGATAGATAGATAGATAGATAGATAGATAGATAGTATAATTTTGGGGGGCTCGCTGCGGGGGGGGGTCTTTTTCCTTTTGGGAAAAAAAAAAAAAAAGATCGCCGGTATTGGATCCGATCGTGGGATAACGAGGGCAAGAATTCCCGGGATTGGGTAGGGAAAAAGCCAGCTGAGGCGGTCCCCTCCTCCTTTTCTTTTTCTTCTTCCTTTCGCCTGCTCCGCGGACGTCGGGGGACCAGTTCCCACCACGGTCCGAAGGCTTCGGTGGAGGGAGCGGCTGGCCAAGAAGGAAGGAAGGAAAGTGGGGAGAGGAGAGGAGAGAGGAAGCGAGCCCTCCAGCGGCGGCGGGGAAGGTCGGTCCCGCAGCCGGAGAGCCGGCGGAGGGAAAGAAGGAAGCGGGAGGACAGGAAGGGAGGGGAACCAGGAGCACCGGCGGCGGCAGCAGCAGCAGCAGCGGCCGCCGGGGCAGGGAATTAAAATGGCCACCAGCCGCTGGAACCGGAGGAGGAGAAGCAGCAGCAGCAGCCGCGGGAACAGCGCCGCCTTCCTCCTCACTTTCCGGGCTTCTCCGCTCGACCGAGCCGGGCCTTGATTGATGAGACGGGGAGCTGCCAGCCGAGGGGAGCCGACGGCGGGGGGCGCTGCCTCCGTCTCCTCCTCCTCCGCCTGAAATCGCCCCCTTCGCCGGGGGCTGCAGCCGAGCCGTAAGAGAGGCGGATGGTCGCCTTTCCCACCCCTCTCTTGCGCCTTCTTGCCTCCAGGTCCACCCCGACCCCGGATACCGTCCTGAAGACCCCCCACCTACCCACCCCTGAAGACCCCTCCGGCCAGGGCAGCAGGGCAGCAGAGCATCCGGGCCGGCTCTCCCCTCAGCTACCCGCAGCCGGAGCAGCAAAGACCACCGTGGGTCCGCCCCACACGCCTCGGGTGAGTTCTGCTCCCTCCGGCCGAGCCTCCTCCGCCTCCGCCGGCCGGGTGGCTCCGCTTTCTTTCCCCCCCCCCCCCCCCGCCCCGACCCCAATCCCTGCATCCCTGATCCCTAGGCCGCGCCGGCGCTCCGAGCTTTCCTCCGCCTTCTTCCCAGAGATGCTGCGGCTGCAGCGGCCGCCGCTGCTTCCTGACCTCTTTCCCCTTGCAAGTCCCGCTGCGCCGTTTTCCTTCCTTCTCGGTCCCGGCCTTTTGTGGGTGGGGGACGGACAGTTATTTCTGCCTAATTTTTGCCTCTCCAGCCCGCAGGAGAGAAAAGAAAGGAAAGGGGGAAGGAAGGGAAAGAGTCCAGGCTTCCCGATGGATGGATGGATGGATTCGTCGTGTTAAAAAAAAAAAAAAAAACAAATTAAAAAGGTTTCGTTTCTTCTTCTGCTTTAAACCAGAGTACCAGCCGCCTCTGTTGTCCTTCTGTCGCGTTTGGAAACTGCCCAGGGCTGGAGGGCCTGCATCCCATGAACGGTGTGAAAAACAGCCAAGCCCCAAATAAATCAAAGCTTGTGTGGGTTTCCAAATGATCCTGGTTTGTAGAAGGGGGCTTGATGCTTGTTGGAGTAGGCAGTCATCAAGCTCCCCCCCCCCTTGCAGGGAATATATATATATTCATTCCAAAAAGGAAAAAAAAATCACTGCATGCCTGTCTTGATCTTTGTTAAACTAAGGATGCTCTGGTTTGGTTAGCTGGTTTGTGGTTTGTGGTGGTACTGTTGTTATTATTTTTTTAAAGCACCTCGTTTTAGATCCGGAAAGGAGGTTTGTTTTCTAGCTGCTGCTTTTTTTTTAATATACTCGATCCATACTTTTCCCAGCAGGAAAAGGAAAAATAACAAAAACGTATCCAATCCCAGCGGGATTAGAGAGGTGTCTTGTTTTGGTTTTGATATAGTGGTTTTTACATGACAGATCTATAGTCTGTGTGAAAAGGTACAAGGAGTGGGGGGGTAAAGAGGATGAAGGCATATTGTCAAGGAGAAAGTCACTAGCCGCTAGGAACAAAGGTTGGCTTAAAAAAAAAGAGAGAGAGAGAGAGAGAGAGTGTTGTGCACGGATGAATAATCCTCTTTAGTTCTTCTCTAGAGAACCTTTATAATGGTTCGCTGTCAGTTAGGGATCTCTCCCTTTCGATTTCAAGGATCTCTTTCTGATTCCACAGAGAACTTGAGGAGATCGTTCGATATTCTTCTTGAGCATTAATGTAAATATCATCAGGCAACTTCTGTACGTTTTTATTTTGCAGTGGGTTTCATAACCTAGTTGGGAAGGTTTCATTGTGTATGGACTGCAATGACTTGAGGACCAGTTCTTTAAGGCTGAATTTTCACTGGGGGTGGCGGGGAGAATTGATGACCTCCCCTAGTTTTGATTAATAGGGATAGAAGAAAACAAAACGGCTATATAAGGTTTCTGCTTTTTTTGAGATAATAGATATAACAGAGCTGAATCATAAGCAACCATTTACACTGGGAAGCTATCAGAAAATCCAGTACAAAAGCAGGGTTAGAGGTATGGCTGGCATTTTTTTTTTATCCCTGCTCTTTGTTTTCAGGGGTTCCAATTCTTAAAAAGCAATTATTTCAAAACTTCAAATATTTCCAAAGAGGTAATACATCCGATTTGAAAGACTAGAATATTTGAACTGGGGATGGAGATAGGCCAGTAGTATCAAAACAGGATGCATTATTAGGTATTTTTTAAAATCCCGGTTAAAATAAAAAGTAAGGTTCAATTATTGCTTGATGAGGTTCCCTGGAGGGCCTTGCACTGCAGCCCAGTGTAAAATGTATAGATAACAGCTTCTCGTCAAATTTATTCTTCAAATTGCATTTAGATATCAACTGCTAAGTGCATGATCTGAACTTTCTTTTTAACGTAGTGATAAAACGCTGTTTCCCGTTGAAATACAGTTGCATAGGCTTGATTTAGAGTAAAATGAAAGAGTAAAATGGTTTGTGAAATTTATTTAAGGAAGGGGACAAACTGAGTTTGGAACATTTGTGACTTGTCTTTCATGGCTGCAGCAGCTCCTTATTCCGGATTAGCATATTTCACATGTGATCAAACATTTCTGTTAAAGTCTTCTGTGGAGAGAAGGCGCTTATTTTAATTATTTTTTCCATTCCACCAAGATTTACCTATTTTGTCATGAAACTGTAATGAGAAGCAGCAGCAGAGAGCACGTAGGCAGAATAATGATGGTGCATTTCATTGTAATTAGAAGAAAATTCATACATTCACCGATAATTCCCCATGATCTTAACCAGAGAAATGGATATTTGAAGAGTTCAGAATCACTGTGTAATTTCAATTCAATTCTGTAAGAATTATAAGGCAAACATACTGTTGTTTTGCTTATTTGTTCAGTAGTTTCAGCACTTTCTAGGATTTTTTTTTGTTTTTTTTTTTTTTTTTTTTTGCAAAAATGTAATGCAATAATAATTTGGAATAAAATGTTGTTTGAGAGTCTTCAAATCTATATAAATCTGTAAAGTTACACAGGTAGTCCTCGATTTAGGGATACAATAAAGACCAACTTTCTGTTGCTAAGCTAAGCAAGGCAATTCTTAAGCTAATTTTGCGTCATGATTTAATCTTTTTTTTACCACAGTTATTAAGTGAATCACTGCAGTTAAGTGAATCATGCAGTCATTAAGTGAATCTGGCCTCCCCATCTGTCATAAGTTGTAAACTGATCACATTACTCTGGGACAGTTCAACTGTCATAAATATATGCCAGGTCACCAAGTGCCCAAATTTTGATCACATGGCCTTCGGGATGTTGCATTGGTTGTAAGTGTGAAAACTAGTCACTAAACAAATGGTTGCAAGTTGAGGACTACAGTACCTATATTATGAGTCCAAGGACTGATCCAGCTAGCCCTTTACCAACTACTCAAACTTTCTGGATCGGCTCATTCCTAACCTTTGGAACATTTTAATCATTCAGCCTGGGAATTGCTTGTAACTAAAGCTGGAACTTTCTGCCTGCAAACCATTGTCAAACATTGAGCTATGACTTCTCATCATGTAATGTGGTGTATCAGCAATCAAGATAATGGTGCAAACTTTATTTTTTAAAAGCAGAGGTGAGAATTGTTGGGGAAGCCAGAGCTGAATAGGACTTTTGCATTGACAGTATAGAGGCATGTGCAAATTGAGGTTCTTCCTTGCACTTGTGTGTGTAAGACTACAGCAGAATCATCATGTATGTGTAGATGCAGATAGACACACTGCTAACACACTATATAGATAGATCAATGTTTCCGACCTTGTCAACAAATGATATGTGGACTTCAACTCCCAGAATTCTGCAGTCAGTTGCAGATAGATACTACAATTCTTACATCTTGCATGCTAGCTTTGTTGAAATACTATATATAATGCTTTTGATAATCAAAATATAAATAAATAAACCATTTATTTCTGGTGCCTATTCTATGACTAGTCTATTCTTTTTCATTTTCCTGCTTTGTTGAAGATGAATTAGATTTAATGTTATGTTCAATCAGACTTGAAGTAGGTGCCTCTATGATCATTAGATAAAGGAACTATACAGAACTATTAAACTGGATAGGGAGATTTAATAAACATTAAAATAGTTAATAAATTTTGTGGAAAACTTAAACTGCAATTTCTTGATTTAAATTCCTGTATTATCAGACATGTAGCAATAACTGTACTAAAGTATTACATTTGTATTGGATACAAATAATTGCTTAGAAATCTATAGAATGGTGCTAATGGTTGCAATTTTACAACTCCATTTCTAAGTAGATCTATTTGGGTAAGAAATTTGCCCGGTTTAGTAGAACTTTTTTGGGGAGTTTTGAAAACCATATTCACAATCTTATTGTAGCTAAATTTCTTTATGTAACATACATTAGACTGCAGTTTTCAACTCTTCCATTGCTTCCTTTAACAAATACTGGCAGCGTTTTTAACTTCCTTGTTTTTTAAAACCATTCCTTCGATTCACTAGAAAAGTGCCTTTTACTTTTTGTTGGATTTTGAGATCTATTCTTGCAAATGCCACCATTGCTTACTGAAAAAATAGTTGCTTAATTTCCGAGTGTGATGTTAAAATAAATGGATGAAAATTATATGCATTGAAGCTCACCATGAATAATATTGTCGTAAGATTATCCATTTTCCCCCCGACTTCTCTTCCCCTCTCTAAATCTTGATTATAACGATGCCAGCAGCAATCTGTAGTAGAAATCTGGAGAAATCATGTCTGTCTATGCTGGTGTTTGACCATAATCAAGATTTGATTTGATCTTGATTTGAAACATGTCTGCTCACATTGCTGCTTTGAATGAATTCATAAGGATTTTGGTAAATGTCTATAGAGATTCTCAGTCATCCAGGTCCCGAAGCTGCTTTTTTTTCCAAGAGGCACCTGGAATTTCTGGTTTTTCCTTGACGTTTCACTTCTCATCCAAGAAGCCCCTTTAGTTCTGACTGAATGGTGGAGGATGGAAGGATTTAGATTCCTTGTAGTCTTCTGGGCGTTAGCACTCTCTCTGAGGTCATTGAGGCCACTTGGAGGTTTATCTGAACCCTCAGGGTGACCTGAATAGTGCAAATGGATGTGGAACCCTATTGGGAAGGAGTGTGTTGTAAACAGAAGATAGGTGTTGTTGTATCCACCCCTCTCTGTGGAGAGAGGACTGTTCAATCTTGATGTAGATCTGAGGTATTCAGCAGGTTCTGACCAGTTCTGGAGAATTGGTAGCAGAAATTTTGAGTAGTTGGAGAATCGGCAAATACCACCTCTGACTGGCCCCTGCCCCCATCTATTCTCTGCCTCTCGAGTTCCAGCTGATCGGCTGGGTCTTCTTTGGTTGCCCTGCATAGGAGAACGGAGCTGGAAAGCAGGTTAGTGGGGTGGGGAGGAAATGGGATTTTACAGTATCCTTCCCTTGCCCCGCCCACCAAGCCCC